AAAGAAAATCAGAGGCTTTGAGCGCTTTGTCTGCCACACTCTGGAGTAACTGTCCCTCCTTGAGTGTGATCTCCTCAAGGCAAAGTCTGGGTCTCCTTCCTCTTGTGTGCCCGCCCTGGCCTATCTGTCCCACACCAGCTGCTCGATGAAGGCTTGCCCGTGTAGAGTATGGGTTTCAGGCATCCCAAGACCTGGAGCTGCAGAAGGTGTGAGTGAGAAGCCTTGGAATGCTCTGCCCATCGGGAAATGGGTCTATCCCAGAGTTGGGCCAAGAAGCTGGGCTCCCTCCGAGGCCAGTGCTTAGAGCTCCGCTACCCAGGCTGGAACCTTGCAGATGGCCAAGTGCATTGGCTCAATATTTGCCTCGAGTAGCTGGGTGCGGTGGCTCCAGCCACTGCTGGATCTATAATCCCAGCACTTTGAGAGGCTGAGGCAGGACAATAGTTTCAGGCCAGAAGTTCAAGACCAGTTGGGGCACCACAGTGAGACCCCATGTCTACAAAAAATATATGAAAATTAGCCAGAAGCTGAGGTGGGAAGATTGCTTGAGTCCAGGGTTTGAGGTTGCATTAGCTGGTATCGTGCCACTGCACTCCAGCCTGGGTGGCAGAGCAAGACCCTATCTCAAAAAACAAAACAAAACAGAAATATATTTGTCTAGAAATGGAAGCCCAAGAAGGAGAATGGGGTGCCCATTTTGACAAATGAGAAAACTGAGCTCAGGATAGAAACGGACCAAGAAATTGACTCGTGTGAAAAAGGCAAAGCTATTCATGCAGTGTTTCTTCACTCCTTCTTCATTCGTCACTTAGTCCCCAGCATGGACTGACTATGCCCTCAGGCCCAGCCCTGTGCTGGCGGAACAGCAGAGAATTGGGCCCAGCTCCTGCCTCAGGGAGCTCACGGTGGGCTGATGGGACAGGTGTGAAAGCACTGAGGGACATGAGGTTGTGCTCAGGGCAGTGGCACTGCGGTGTGGGTGTCCAGAGTGGGTCCTCATGGCCTGAGCCTGGGTACCCCCTGCAACCCTTAAAAGCAGGACTGGGGTCAGGACTTTTGAGCAGGAGCATTCTTTGGGGAAGTGGATCCAGGGGGTCGACTGAGGGACTGGAAGGGTAAAGGAGGAGAGAGGAAAGCAAGAACAGGGGGATGCCGTAGAGATGGCCACACTGAGGGCAACCAAGGCCTAACCCAAAGGGACTGTAACTGCCCAGCAGGTTCACCTTGCCTGCTGCCTAGACAGAGCCGATTTATCAGGACACGGGAATTGCAATGGAGGAGTAATTCATGCAGAGCCGGTTATGCGGGAGACTGGAGTTGGTTTGTTTGCTTATTTGTTTGTTTTGAGTATAAGTTGTACTTTGTCACCCAGGCTGGAGTGCAGCTGTGTGATCTCCGCCTCCTGGGCTCAACTGATCTTCCTGTCTCAGCCTCCTGAGTAGCTGGGGCTACAGGTATGTACCACCAGACCTGGCGAATTTTTGTATTTTTAGTAGAAATGGGGTTTGGCTATGTCATGCAGGCTGGTCTTGAACTACTGGACTCAAGCTATCCACCTTCCTCAGCCTCCCAAAGTGCTGGGATTACAGGCGTGAGCCACTGTGTATGGCCACAGGATAGTTTTGTTTGTTTGTTTTTGTTTTTTGTCTTATTTTTAAGAGATAGAATCTTGCTATGCTGCCCAGGCTGGTCTCAAACTCTCAGACTCAAGCAATCCTCTTGCCTTGGTTTCCCACCCAAAGTGTTGGGAGTATAGGTATGAGTCACTGTGTTTAGCCAGTACTTTTTTTTTTTTTTTTTTTTAAATTTAGAGTCAGCGTCTTGCTCTGTCACTCAGGCTGGAGTGCAGTGGCAAGACCACTGCAGCCCTGAACTCCTTGACTCAAGAGATCTTCCAGCCTCAGCCTCTCAGAGTGTTGGGTTTTACAGGTTTTCGTCACCACACTGGGCTCTAGGGCAGAATTTTATGGCCAAATTTTATGTCCCGGATTTCCACTTGAGCATTGAGAATATGGATTTGGAAATTTGATGGAGACAGGAGAAATCCTATCCTTACTTTAGACACTTACTGAACCTAGTGTGTGTGGAAGGAAGATGGGATGCATTTAGAATGGGAAAGGATATAAGAGAATAATGATAAAGAATATCTATAATCACAATTTCTCACACTCAGGCAGAGAAAGGAGAATCTCTAACAGTCATAGCACGAATATTTCAGCTTTTTCCTGTTTCCTTCCTCTGTACTTTGGGTCCCTCTTTCCTTTCTAGCATTCCGTCTTCTTTCATCAGACACATTCTGTGGCAAACTTAAGACCCAAACCACAACCTTGACAAATTCCAAATGGATTTTGTCAGCAAGGCCAACACACCCCTTCGCCACTCCCTACTCCTGCTCCTAGCACATGTGCTGGGCTCAGGCCCAGGCCTTGGGTCAGTGACAGTGTGGAAGTATGCAACCCACAGAGCTGGTGGCTACAATTTCAGCTTTTACTAGGCTCCAATGGCAGCCAGAGGGAGGGAGAAAGGCTGATGAACCATAAGTCAGGCCTCTTGTCCTTCCTCAGCTCCAGATGAGCTCTACTCCTGCTGGCTTTTACCAAGTGGCTGGGAAGTTAGGGAGTGGCAGTGGCCAGCTAATTGCCAGTTGGGCAGCACTCCTCCCATCTCTGCTCCTGTTTGCTCCGTGGGCAGCCCACTCTGATGCTGCAACAGACACTTTCTTCTTCAGACTCCAGACAGGTGAAGAACAGATGAGCTGGGAGATTCTCTAGTCCTATTAATCAGTCCTGACTAACATATCATGGTACTTGCTTACCACATTAGGCTGTCACCATTTCTATCCTTCTATTGCACCTGAGATACAATCTTGAGAGGATCTGAAGCATTGGGCAGGAATATCAACAGGTTCCACCTCCTTGTCTTAGTGCCACAAGGCATGTCTGTGTGGTAAGGGCACTAGGGAGTTTTTATAAAGCGTAGTTTTTGTGGACACCGTGGTAGCATGACCTGGTGGAGTGTTACTAGAAATCTCTAGAGAAAGAAATGAAAGAGTAATCAGGTGGAAATATCACAAAGCCCACTCTAGGAATCTGTAATAATACTGGAGGAAGATCCTTTTGTAGTTCTTAAACATAATGACTGGGTGTTCACGCACATGTGAGTGTGCCACCCTCAAACCTTTGTTATACGGGCACACTATCCATTTGACATGAAGAACAACAACAAAAATACTAGAGATGTCTTTTGCCCTTAAAAACACAGAGCTGGGCGAGGCACAGTGGCTCATGCCTGTAATCCGAATACTTTCGGAGGCCTAGATGGGAGGACTGCTCGAGCTCACGAGTTTGGCCTGAGCAACATGGCATAACCCTGTCTCTACAAATAGCATAAAAATTAGCTAGGTGGCTGGGCGTGGTGGCTTATGCCTGTAATCGCAGCATTTTGGGAGGCCGAGGTGGGT